CCTGTAGCTCATCCTGTGATGAGCTATGGGGTTGCTTTTTCTAAGACTAAAAGAGAATCAGAGGTTAGCATGCTATCATCAATATAATGTAACATTCTCACTGAAGTGGGGGGTATCCACTTCTCCAAGACTTCAGGTGGCAGCTGGTCAGGCTGTGTAAGTAGTTCGTAAATAACATGGTGAAGGTCCACTGGAATCTGTCCTAAGTAAAGTCAGATTGATCTTGGCTGTCAGGGTGAATATCAATACTAAAATTCGCATTAGCTAAATCCAATACGGTATGGTAGGTACCCAGTTCAGTCCTTAGCTTGACTATTATATTAGTGATATTAGGCACTGCTACATGCAGGGGAGGGATGACTTAATCATTGAGTTCCCTTTTATCCTCTGTTCTTCTCCATGTACCATCTGGTTTTCTAACCGGTTATACTAGACAGTTTAATAGACTATAGGCTGGCCTTATTATGTTCACCTTGACTAATTCTATGAATGCTCCCCCTATCTTTTTATGGCCCTCTGGGAACCTGCACTGCTTAGTAGCCACTACTCTTCGAGGCGGTGGCCACTGCAACAGGGAATGCTTTGGAACTCCATAATTGGAACTCTCCAGCACTAGTATGCAGGCACAACTTTTATAATACATTATACTCTCCCTAGGGGGCAGTCTACCAGTTCCTAGTGTTAACCTCATTTTCTGTACCCTAACTGTTTGTCCTCCATACCCATCTGTGGCAGTCGGTGGCCTTTTGAACTTAGAGGGGTTTCCATAAACTAGAATGCATTCTGATCCAGTATCCAAAACAGAATTGAGGAGGGCCATAAAAAAAGCTCTCACACTTGCATATCTGAAATACCTTCACATCTTGCTCATACCTTGCAAACAATACAAAAGGCTTATCACAGACATTTCCTCTGGCCTGCAGTATTTCAGATAAGAACCTCAGATCAGGACAGTGCCCACCAATGGCTGTCTCCCCCAATGAATGAATGCCACATCCTGCAGTGAGTTCCTGAGACCAGTGAACTTTATTTCAAAGCGGTTTATGTAAGCATCTTTTCTTTGTCTTTAAAAACTTCTTTTGATTCCAGTTTTCCTCAGGTGTGCTTATGACTTTCATAGGATGCATATTCCAGGTTACAACTTTTTGCTATTCCCATTTGTCCTAGGAGGCTTTGTTTTGTCTTTGTTTTTGTTTAAATTTTAATTTTTTAGGTAAACAATAGCAGATCCCTTTTTTTGTCCCTCTTTTTTAAGAATAGAAAACACTTTCTTAGGACTCCACATCAGGCTTATTCTTGTATTATTTTGGCCAAAGCTATATAATTTGCCTTTCCTAAACCACGTATCCATCAATCCATATGTGCCAGGGATGGTATTGACTGTTGGTACTAGATGTATAGTTCTGTTCTCTTTCCAAAAGCTAGGATCTCAACAGTCCTTCCCCACCAGCCAGCTACTGAGCAGACCAAGTATAAAAAAATCATACACTTTGGGTGTCCAAAAGGAAAATGCATCCTATCAGGGAACTTATACTTGTAACTTCTAACGAAGACAATGATAAACACTTCAGCATTATTTCTGTTCTTTCTGCTTCTTAAATTTGGCTTTCCAGCTAACTGAAACACAAGTTTGTCATAGAATTCAGGAGAAACTTGAAATTTGCATTCCTACCAGCATTCTGGCAGAGTAAATTGATATTATACTTGTTTTTTCATAGCCCTAAATGATTATCCTTCTTTAAACAAATGCCCATGGGCATTTGCAGCTGATTGTTTCTTTTTATGAAACAAAGCCCTGTATCTGCATGGATAGGCATAGATATACACAATTCATATGCATTGCTTTAACAAAATTCTCACTTTACTGGAGCTTTTAAAGGTTAGTTGTTATCTTTATGGGACACAGATTATATTTTCAATAATGATTTTTGTTGATAAAGCAAGCAAATCAGACTTGTGGTCTTCTGGAGCAAATTAAATTGAGTTGAGATTTACTTTAAACGAAAATTGAAAACAAATTAAGTAATCAGTCAATGTAATGTTTGTGGTTACAGCTCTTATATATATTTGGATAAGTTGAGGAAAAAAGCTTTTTGTTCCAAGGAGAAAAACATTTGCAAGTTGGCAACATTTGAAATTGGCTGTAAAATATTACGTATAATGACAATTTGTTTTTATATTTGTATGACCCCTACATTCCATAGATTAAATTTAATCATGTGGCACTAGTATTAGAATCAAGCAATCTTAAGTTTAGCTAATGATATTTATTTATCTTTTTGTTGTTGTTGCTGTTAATCATTTCTAGTAACCATGAGTAGGACCTTTGAACTTAACATTTGAAAACACTTGTATTAATGGTAGCAAATTTCAACTTATTGAAATTTGACATTCATAAAGTTAATGCATATCTTTTCCTCTTATTACAAGTTATTTTCTTAATTTTACAACTTTGAGATGGCTTTCAATGACTTACTGCCTCAAAATGATGTGAAGAAAGAAATTTAGTGAGATTTATTGGTGCTGACTTGGGTTTTGTGCTCAGGCAAATGAGTTCACATTATAGTCAGATGAAGATCCTGGGGTCTCTGGTTAAAGTTCTTTTGTTTTATTTTGTTTTAAATTTTATTTTTTGAGTCAAGTCTTACTCTGTTGCCCAGGCTGGAGTGCAGTGGCACCATCACAACTCACCACAGCATCGGCCACCTGGACTCAGGAAGTCCTTCTGTCTTAAGTTCCTGAGTAGCTGGGAGTACAGGTCTGCTCTACTACACCTGGCTAATGTTTTTGATTTTTTGTAGTGATAAGGTCTTGCTATGTTGCCTTAGGCTGGTCTCAAACTCCTGGGTTCAAGTAATCCTCCTGACTTGGCCTCTCAAAATGCTGGGATTACAGGCAAGACCTACCATGCCCAAACTAAAATTTAAATTCATCCCTTAAAAGGTTATGGTATTTTATGAAGTTTAACTCCTGAGCCATTTTTTTGTCTCACAGTTAGCTACATTTGACTCAGATTCTGAATGTAGTTCATACTCAAGTATTAACAGAAACATCACTCCCTGTTATGCGCTGCATTTACTATATTAACACAACACTAAAATTCCAAATAGCAATAAATTATTGCTTTCTTTCCCACTTATCTCTTAAAATTATGCATCAGAAAAACGTATCAGACTTTTTACAATCTTTTGAATCTATTTTTGGTTCCATTTTATTACAAATTTAATTAACTAGGTACAGAGATTTAGTCATATTTGTTAATTAAAATTTATTCTGCAAAATGATTTGCTGACTTAATACATCTTTTGTAACTTGTGGATACTGAAACTACTTTGTGCACACTTTGCTCAGGACTCTTGGTTGCAAGTAATAGAAATGAAATTAGAAGGACTATAGCCTAAGTGAATTACGGTTTACTAATAGTATTGTTTAGGGGAATTCCTGCCTGCTTCAGGCATGGCTATATCTAGAAATCAAATATGCTCACCAGTGATTTATGTCTCTCTACTCTGCTTTCCTCTCTGTTGGCTTCTTCCTCTTATAAACATTTTCTTTCTTGTAGCCATGAAGCTTAGCAACCTTATATCCTATAAACTCCAAGTCCAATGACAATAAAGATTTTTATCCTCTGTTATCTCAGCAAAAGAGATAAAATTAGATTCCATGCCCTGGGACGTAATTATGCCATTCCTGGCCCAATCTCTGCGCCTAGGAGGTTGGAATGTATCAGTGCCTGACAATGGTGGCACCTGAATAATTCCCAACATCATCACCTGGGATCTTGTTAGAAATTCATATTTTCAGTTCCATACCAGATTCAATGAATCAGAAAAGTCTGGGAGTAGGATCCAGCAAACTGGGAGGTAACAAGTCTGTCAAGTGATTCTGGTGCGTTCTTATACACAAGAACCACCACTGTATACGAATTGGTCAGCACTGGATCATGTATGCACCCAAGATCTTCAGTGTAAGTTCAGCTCTGCAGAAAGAACATAGAAAAGAAATCTGAGGAATTGATACCAGAAAAGAGGAAAAGCAGATGCTGAGCTGGCAAAGAGGAGAGATGCCTACTGTAATGAGACTTCAGTCCACTAGTAAGACTCTCCATTGTTTCTAATGCTACTGTTTCTCAGAACAGCGTTGGTTATTATTTGCTCTGCAGAAAACCAGTTTTGCAATTAAGCAAATACATTTGCATACTCCTCTACAACATAGTGGTTTAGTCTAAATTTCATCTTCAAATGGGTAGATGGCCAGTCTTGAAGGTTTCCAGACCATATTAACTTATTATCAAAAGCATCCTGAACTCTTGGGATATAGACTTGTACAATTAAGTTATTCTACAAGAATCTCACTTTTCCTCTGTGATAAGTAATAAAATAGATTTACTTTGCTTCAAACATTCTCAACAAAAATGGCAATAATACCTACTGAATTTTAGGGAAGGTGGTCAATGCTGCAATATCATCCACAATAAATTTTAAATACATTTTATAGAAGTACCTAACAAGAAAGATAAGTGTAATTTTTATATTACTAAAGTTACTTTTGCTACATTTCTTGATTTTGGACATTTGCGATTATTATCCAGGGGAAGCAGTGCAGTGTGTGTCAGTGTTTCTCAATTTATCTACTCACAAAAATCTTCTGGGTACTTGTCATAAATACAGACTCCATGGTTATTTTTCAGGATACTCATATTTGGAAGGTCAGGGATGGGAACAGAGAATTTGCATTTTCCATTATTGTCTCAGGGGCTTCTTATGATTAGGCATATCTGTAACATACTCTGTAACAGTGAAGAGTGAGGATGCTGAAATCATATGGTGTGGGGTTGAATCAAGGTTGTAACTCTTTCAAGCTGAGGGTAAGCTATTTAACATCCTCAAGCCTCAAATGTTAGCTGCCATGATTATTGATTGTAGTTGTTCCTTTTATTTTCTCTGAAATAATCTGCCTGTGTCACCTTTTGTTTTTTTTCTTAATTTCTTATGCTGCAGATAGAAGACATGCAGTGGGGTAAAGGAGTCCGGAAGATCCCCCCTTCAGTGTGCACACTACCATGTAAGCCGGGGCAAAGAAAGAAGACACAGAAGGGGACACCTTGCTGCTGGACCTGTGAGCCTTGCGATGGTTACCAGTATCAATTTGATGAGATGACATGTCAGCATTGTCCCTATGACCAGCGGCCCAATGAAAATCGAACCGGCTGCCAGGATATCCCCATCATCAAACTGGAGTGGCACTCCCCCTGGGCTGTGATCCCTGTCTTCCTGGCAATGTTGGGGATCATTGCCACCATCTTCGTCATGGCTACCTTCATCCGCTACAATGACACGCCTATTGTCCGGGCATCCGGGCGGGAACTCAGCTACGTTCTTTTGACAGGCATCTTTCTTTGCTACATCATCACTTTCCTGATGATTGCCAAACCTGATGTGGCAGTGTGTTCGTTTCGGCGTGTCTTCTTGGGCTTGGGTATGTGCATCAGTTACGCAGCCCTCTTGACAAAGACAAATCGGATTTATCGCATATTTGAACAGGGCAAGAAATCAGTGACAGCTCCCAGACTTATAAGTCCAACATCACAACTGGCAATTACTTCTAGTTTAATATCAGTTCAGCTTCTAGGTGTTTTCATTTGGTTTGGTGTTGACCCACCCAACATCATCATAGACTATGACGAACATAAAACAATGAACCCTGAGCAGGCCAGAGGAGTTCTCAAATGTGACATTACAGATCTCCAAATCATATGCTCCTTGGGATATAGCATTCTTCTCATGGTCACATGTACTGTTTATGCCATCAAGACTCGGGGTGTACCAGAGAATTTTAATGAAGCCAAGCCCATTGGATTTACTATGTACACGACATGTATAGTATGGCTTGCCTTCATTCCCATTTTTTTTGGCACCGCTCAATCAGCGGAAAAGGTAAGTGAAGATACACATCTTAACACATATTTCAAAAATGCACTTGTTTTGTTAAGTATGGAAACCAAATTGGTTGTATAAAGTATACGGAATGATATCCCAAAAGTAGACGAGCCTGGATTAATAGGCTTCAATGCTACAGAAGTCTAAAACTGTGCCACATTCATTGCACTGGAAACCAATGGGGTCGCCTTTCCAATTTAGTTATAATTATCATGAAATTACCCAGTGTAATAAAAGATTATCTAGTGCAAAATTATCTAATATATCTAAATTAAGTACTCTTGTTCATTCATCCCTCACCTTTTCTGCTTACACACATATTTCTTTGGGATAAGAGAAGAGGAGCATGGTACCTTATCCTCCAGGTTTCAAAATGAGTGAGTCCTAACATGTTCGTGGATCCTAACATGCTGCCCCTAGGCAGTGATAAGTTTTATGAATCTTTAATTTATACATCCCTATGGTATTGATTCTAGACATAATTCTGACACATCTGACTCCTATAGTCACACATATGGCTATAGTTTTGTGTAATACCAAACCTAATGTTAATACTAACAAGATGTGGTATCTTTCACTGGATGTAAGCAGCTCTGACAGGTTCGTAAAACTGAGGCCAAAATCAAGACCTGAAGTTCTAACTGATACACTCTATAGGAGGGCCTAGTCATAACTTGACTGGATGATAGGACATTGGAAGTCTAGTCTGATTCCATATTGCTTTAGACAAATCTCTCAAACATTTAGGGACGTAGTACCTTAAAAGAGAAAAGCAAAAATTGAAGTAGAAATGTCTAAAAATTTGCAAAAATTTATGCTTCTAGGAATTATTTGAATCTGATTTTACATTATTACTTTTGTTTTCTGTATAGTCATAAGAGATTAATGGCATTTGGCTAGTTTTCTGACTGAAAAGATATATTTTGCCTAAATTGTGTGATTCAGAAGCTATAATTTTGGACTGTGTATTTAAGAAGTAAATATTTCATAAAATCAAGGACAGAGAATGGTTGCAGATTATGGTTTTAGTAATAAAGTGTCTTATAAAAAGTTCTTATAGAATATATACGCGATGAATATAGTATGTTTCAATTTCATAATGCATGTTAACTGTCTATGACACAACCTGATTTCATTTTATTTCTTCTATCTATCTCAGGTCAAGGAAATAGTAAATTATGAGTTAGGGTTGTGGAAACATAATAGAGAGAAGAAAAAATATCCCCAAGTATATGCTGGTAATTTGGCAATATCAAACGTGTAATGGGGAAGGATGGGTATCATCAAAGCCTATGAAGATAATAATTATTTTGTTATTAAAACAAACTCAATACCTCATGTGACAAGTTAGACATTAAAATCTTCTCCTGTAAGTTTATTCTTGAGGAATGTAAAAGAGATGAATAACTGTAGTGATTTTATAGATGAGTCTGCTTGCAATGTCCATTTGACAATTTATGTCTCTGCCATTTTGTTTTTCATTTCTAGTGACGATTATAGTTTTTTTTCAACAAGGTCACAGATATAATTTGCTCATTTACAAACCTGAAAATAATGCAAGGTTTCAGAAATTGAATTCTAATTGTTCTGAAACACATTATATTGATAGAATTGAATTTTGGGAAAAATTAAGTTGTCTTCAAGCAGTTTTCTTTTTATTCCTAGAGTTTTAGGAGGGATGTATTTTTCTTTATATAATTTGAATGAATTGTGATGTTTTACATAGTGGCACATTTAAAGGTACCAAATTGCCAAACGGGAATAGTGAGTTATTATATGAAAATGCACATACTCAAATGATAGACATATGGCTAGAGAAACCGATTTAAAAATACCATGTTGTATACATGAAACTATGGCATTTACATTGTAGAAAGCAGCAAATTGTCAATTGTAACAAAGAGATTACAGCAAAATGTATTTTTGCCAAGACAGCACCCTACAGAATCACAACTTTTCCATTTTTGTTTAGATTTAGCCGTTTAAGGGTTTTAAATAAAGAGTTTTATTGTTACAGAAAAAAAACCTAATTAGGCAGTAAGTTCAGTAATAATGATTTACTTTCAGGAAATTGAATTCATTTTGATTATGTTAGGAGTATCTTTGTGAAATTTCTCTTCAGTCAAGTTCATTAGCGCAGCCTAATGAGTGAGCAGTGATTTTATTTTCTTGCAAAATACCAACCCCCATAAAGTTTATCTTTGCTTTTGTTAAGGATGATACAGGTGATCATTGCCATCCTGTTTTACCATCACTAACACTGTGACTTCTAGAATGGAGATACTGCAACACAGCCAGGGATGGAAGTGGTAAACTTTAGTCATAAGAGGATGTTTCTGGGTTTCAAGAAATATATTTAGGTGATCGTAATGATGCAAGAACACACTTCACACAAAGAACTGGTAAGGCAGTAGCACAATAGAAGTTGAGTGGCCTAGGCAGTGGAATCACATGCCATTATTATATCCTGGCACTATCTGGTGAAAGACTATATATTTTTTTTAAATAAAAAGCAAAGACTTGCCTTGTGGAATTATCTATATAGGGAGTTGTGCACACAAACAAAAATCATGCTTTAGGTAGAGGATACAGGTTCCCCTTCCAAAACCTGAGAAACTATGTAGATGATATGTTCATCCTGAGCTTTTTGAGGGTATACTGCTCAGTATACCCTTATTCATGAGCAGGGAGACAAACTTCAAGACATGACTCTGTAAAGGAAAAATAGACCTTGTACAAAGGAATGTGATCAGAGGTTCTCAGTGATCTTCCTTTGTGTGTCAAGTGTGTTTATTTGGATAGGAGGATGGTGAGAGAAGGAAAAAGAAAAAGGATGAGGTAATTGAGAGTCAGAGAAAATTGCTAGAAAAGAGTAGTGGCTTGAATAAAGGAGTGTGTCTTCTGAAATGGTACTCACAGGTCACTGCTCTGCACATATCACAACAAAACCAGGGTATATTACAACACTTAAATAATAGAATTCTTTGATTTTCATTGGGGCATTATTCTACTAAATAACAGATTTGAGTCAACTATTAGAAAATCTCTGAATCAGTTCAAGGTCCTTACCTAGTGGTTCTTCAAATTGTGTCCATGCAGAAGTTGTTTTAAAAATTACTGTGTGTCTTTCCACCTTTCTCCTAACTTTTATAACAAGGCCGAGGGCGGTGGCGGAGGGGGGCATAGAACAACACATTTTTAACAAGCCTTCTGGAAAAATGCTGTTGGAAGCCAAGCATGCTTTTTAAAACTACCTAAATACTTTCTTTCCACCTGTATCCTATAAATACTCCCTTGAGTCCTAATTCCAAAGCCTTTGGAAATAAATTAATTCTTATTGCAAGCAAATGGAAGGTCCAGAGATGAGGGGCCAGGAGATCAGAAAGACACTATCCAAGGTCAAAGAAAAAAAATCAATGATTAGGAGATTCAAATGATGTATCAACCCCAAGGTTTGGGCCAGAGACCATAAAAAGCCAGGACAAAGTACTGGGCCCTGAGACCAGAGACAGGAATAGTAAAGACAGATAGGTATGTTCCCCAGGGGTATTTTTTGAGGGGCTGGGTATAGATACCAAGACTTTTGATCTTCCACATGTGACAGATAGTGACCCAGAATCTGAACACAAAGCAAAGTATGCCTAAGACTAATATAGGGATGAGAAATATTTGGCAGGTTGATAAACATTCCTTCATTACACCCAAGGCAAACATCACTAATCAATCATGGCACACTTCTCTTGAACACAGGTGTGATCTTGAGGTCCTTCTCAACACAGTCTTAAGACAACAACTATCAATAACTCAGAATTGAAAGGAATTTAAAATCCACATACCATTTCTGATTCAATTTCATGATCCAACAAATGGGTCTTGGTATTTCCTTTCATCCAGCTGTTTGCGGTCATTGTGAGGAAACCAGTGAATGACTTTCTTTTTATTTTTGAGTTGGAGTCTCACTCTGTCGCCCAGACTGGAGTGCAGTGGCACCCTCCTGGCCACCGCAGCCCCCACCTGCTGGGCTCCGGCGATGCGCTTCCGCCTTAGCCTTCTAAGTAGCTGGAACTACAGGCGCGCACTACCACACCCAGCTAATTTTTTGATTTATTGTAGAGATGAGGTCTCGCCAAGTTGCCCAGGCGGGTCTCGAACCCACAGGCTCAGGCAATCCACTCACCTCAGCCTCCCAAAGCGCAGGATTACAGTCTGAGCCACCGAGCCCGGCTCAGTGAATGATTTTCATTAAAATTAAACACTTAAAGGTAAAGAATAGTCAGGGAAATGGGAGTGAGCTTTCATTAGTTTTCGTTTTGTTTCTGATTACAAAGTTATTTTGTTAAATTGCCAAACTCCACACAGGAAGGAGCTACTCCTTAGTTCTCTTAGAAAATAATACATTAATGTATGCTTCTGCATTATTTGATTTGATTAAAATTTTCACGTGGTTTTTCATCAACTGGACTATCCATTTTAAAGCATCTATTATGCCCCAGTACAGTACTCTGTTAAGGACTGTGATATAGAAGTAAAGAAGACTCTGTCCTTGTCCGTTATGAACTCATATGCTCATGGTCCTCAAACACCAGATAGTGTGAGCCAATGCTACAATTGTAGCACAAAGAATGAAGGACAGGTACACAGAGAAACAAAAACCTTCCACTTAAGCTTCACAGAAAATATGACAAGTGGACTGAAATTAAGAGGCAGAGATATTGGCATGGCAATCCATTAAGAAGTTATATCACATGTTAAAAAAAAAAGTGAGAGGCGATATTTTCAACACATGGCACAAAGAGGAGACAGATTGCACTTACGCAACTTTGACTCTTGCAAACGGGAGAGAGTGCAGTAATAAAAATTAATGAAACCTTATTTTACCGACACATTTTAAAACAATGTAAATCCCAATGCTGCCCTCCCAAATTAAGCTTTTGTCAAAAAATCACACTTTTCAATGTAGTGAGCTAAGTTCGTTTTAAATATTGTAGTTTATAAGC